TGGCACTTTTGGCTCGTTCTAAAAACGTCCGGTCGGCCGGACGTCGGCACTTTTGGCTCGTTTTAAAAACGTCCGGTTCCCCGGACGTTGGCACTCAAAGGGTTAATCTATTGCATATAATAGTTACACATCCGCCAACACTTTGAGAAACAAAATTGAACTGTTATTGCCTTAATAGAAACGTTTAAGTTATGACTTTTAAATCTGGTAAGTAATGGATACCACCATTTTTGTTTTGATTAATTTTAAATCTGGTGTATGCTGATATATTAGAAAAACTGACCAAATCTTGGAATAAAACTTTTACATACAGGTATATGATTTATCTTCATCTCCCTTAGTTACATATCTTTTTATTTATTTTTGACATTTTAAATTTCAATTTGGAAGTTGCAAAAATACTAATTATTAAATTTAAATCAACATTTTGTTGAATTTCACTCTTCTTCATATTAAATTACAAATCCTTCCATCTTCAGTTTCTTACTTACAATAAATCATTAGCAAAACTAAGTCAGCTGTTATAAACTTTAGAAATGTATTTGTGCCTTATCAATAATCTTTTGGAATATTAAAGAAACTATATCTATACTATAAAAAATGTTTAAACAAATAATTTAGCATTAAAGACAGCAGACAAAACTAATATGATTATCAAAGCACCAAGGACTAAAAAATGTAATAGCAAATACAGTATATGTTTCATTGCATCTCTGATTCTACTCTACAAAAATATCAAAAAACAACTTAATATACAAACCAGTTCTTTTAATCAGTTCCATCGTCCACTGCCTTTACATTTTCACATTTACCATTAAGTAAACATAGTAACATTTAATTGATTTGAGAAAAAAAGGAACACTGTGGACTGCTTAGTTTTATGATATTTTCCTTGGTTTAATTTAATCAGTAATGTGGCAAAACACAAATAATAAATTTATCAAATAAAGTAAATGTGAACTGAAAGCTATGTTAAGATGAAATTAGAGTTATTTTGTATTACCATTTGTAATTAAATATAGTTACACACATACAACAGATGTTACAGGTGATACACCTATTAGTAATACACATACAGACAGACACCATTAGATTTTTATATAACAGTATAGATAGATATAGATTGTAGGTTACTTTTATACCTTAAATTATAAATTATTTAAGTGGGTTGTAAATTATTTTTTTACAACATAATATTTTTGATATTTCTATAATCAGTCATAGACGTTAGAATGACTCTTTGATTGAGGTCTTGCTGTTTATGTTTTTGTTGTTTATTTTTTTGTCACGATTTACAGTTTTGCTCGATTTCGAGCAACAGGTTATCTAGTATTTTAATATCGGGAAACATAAATTCCCCATTATGTAAGTTTTTTTAAACTCATCAATAAGGTCGCTACAGTTTACAGTTTGCAAAGCCTTTTTCAGATTTGAGTAGGGTATAAACCCTACTCTAGATGAAAACTTTACCCAGTTGTGTAAATTGTAAATTTTATTTTTGTTTATGAATAAAAAGTTTCAATAAAAACATGTATTTGGTAAAAAATGTAGGTCTTTAGTTAATTCATCACGGACAGAATATATGCCGTAGCACTTTGTTGCAATTTTCTTCTTATATTTAACGGTAGAAACTTACAAAATGGGGGAATTAAAGTTCACAACAATCACCACTCACATGGACACCTCACAACTCTCACTCTAACCATCAAATTAACTACAGTACTGTCACTGTCACTGACTAATTACTCACACACTAGGCCTACCGCCTTCAGTGGCGGATTTACCATAAGGCACACTAGGGGCGCCTGCCATTGAGGGGCAGCGCGCGGCCCGTCAGCGGGTGACGGGCGGCGGCGGGCGCGCGGTGATAGGCTGCGGCCACACGCGTGGTTTTTTCAAGCAAAATGCAGCTTGAAAACATGCGAAAAATTAAAGTAGTATTTAAACGAATAGGCGCCCGCTATTGTGGAAAAACACACTTGATTTTAGTAAATCATCGATGTATAATACTCTACAGTTATTATACATCGATGGAGTAAATAAGGCAATTAAGTCATTGTTCAAAATTTTGTCCATTTTATTCATTCTCAAATCAAATCAAATCAAATTGTTTATTTCCAAAATATAAACAATACAATAAACAGATATAAATTAAAAAGAAATATATTTTTCCGCATAGGCGTAAGCCCGTGTGCGGAAAAAGAGTTCTAAATCTGCTACCTATCTGGTATATTGTGGATAAACAGTGATTTTTATTGTCTAATTAAAACATTTACTACATTTCTTAAAAATAATTATATATTACATAAAAACATAATTTAAAAGTTAATATGTACAAAATTAGGACACACTTGTGACCGCGCGCTGCCCCTCAATGGCAGGCGCCCCTAGGCACGTGCCTAGTGTGCCTTATGGTAAATCCGGCACTGAAGGCGGTAGGCCTAGTGTGTGAGTAATTAGTCAGAACACAAGTGTTCTTGATTAAAGTAGGCTACTCAATTGAATGACAATATAAAACAGGCTTATTTATTACTTTTTTGTAATGATACAGTGGACGTGTTAAAGGCAGTAATAAGTTATTTAAGTTTTGGCAGAACAATAACCTATATATGTTTATTTAATCTAAAATGTAAAATGTATTAATAACAGGCCCTATTTATTTTATTTATGTGAAAAAAAACTAACTTTTTTTCGAACCGCTATTGGTTGTTTTACTTTTTTAATCATTTTAATTTCGTAATTATGCATGAAGAAAATAATAATAATGAGTGAAAAAGGTTAAGTGGCGCAGCATTACGCAAACTTAAGGAAAAGCGTGAAAGAGAGACTTCCTTTCCTTTTTCGCGAAACACAAAGAGGCGGCCGGCCGAACGGGCCTAGGGGTGGCGCCGTAGGTAAATCCGCCACTGACCGCCTTACTCCTCAGAGTCTCATACATTCAGGGCTCAACAAGTATGACAGTGACAGACGATTGGATTCACGCGCAGCTTGCTTCCCAGTAGTACCAACCCTACACTATTATTATTTCATACTTTATTACATTTACATGCAATTATAAATACCTATAAAATAGTTTTACAAATTATTGTTAACCTCATCCTTATTAAAATCCATATTTTTTAGCCCCTGAGCTGATCATGTGACTAAATCAATAAATAGAATTACCTTCGTCAAACAGCTCATTGTAGTATTTGCATTGTTACGGCCGTTTCAGCATCTTCGTGCCATCATCAGACGTTCAGCCTTAGTGGCGTCGATAATATACAAAAACACAAACTGTCACACGCGACGTACACATAAACATAGTGCGGGCATGTGTGTTCAACAGGCCTGTTTAGTTAAAATCCCCCGTTTATGTTTATGTATGTGTACGTCGCGTGTGACAGTTTGTGTTTTTGTATATTAACGACGCCACTCAGGCTGAACGTCTGATGATGGCACGAAGATGCTGAAACGGCCGTAACAATGTAAATCATCCTTATTTTTCAGATTTGTATTTATTAGCTCCATATCATGTTAATAACCTTCACAATTCATTCAAACCTACAGGATAGTAAAAAAAATTGACCGCGGAGCTTGTCCCAGTTGCCCCCCCTTCGGACGGCCCCGATTATAAACTACGATATTATAGTCATGTTAAGAAACTTATTTTGAAAAGCCTTAGAAGACATAAAAAATTGGTAATTATTTAGCCTGTTATATCTACACTGGGATATGATGTAATTTTTAGATATCTACTTACAGTTTTTTTCACGCTGAATCCACAAATGCAATCAGTTTGTGTCGGAGAGATTCCTAAGTGGCCGTACAATTAAATAATTACGGTAATATTAAACTTCAGTTTTGTTAAGTCATTCCGATATTTGTGGTTCTAGCAGCGACTAACACTGAAAGGGTTGGAAGGTTTGTGGAGTGGAAACAGATTGTTGGATTCGAGATGCTGACAAACTAAAACTCACATGACGACATGAGAGCAAAATCTGAATTACAATTACAATCTGAATACAATTTGATTTGTAAAAGCAAATGGACTTTGATGCCGCTAAGAAAATACAGTAACTCAACTACAATACATAAACTATTAATCACTTCAACATTAATTATAAAACAATGGAATTTATTCTCGTAAAATACAAAATAGTTAAAGGCGTCGAAGAAGATAGGTCGGACTTTATGCGGATTCGTGATTGTATTAAGTCCTTTGAAGTGAGGTTAAATTAGGTAGCCTAAGTTAAACTTTAGGTTATAATGAACCGACTCATTGATTTATGCTACTTCCAGACTGCTTTTGCACAATTGAAATAGTGGGTAAAAACAATGAAATAACAATTTATCACAAATGCACGAATCCGCATAAAACCCGACCTTCCATCCCCACATGCCTAAATAAGAGCTGATTATTTGGTTTCAAAATGAATTGATTTAATCCCCATTAAGTCAAGTATAACCAGCTGTTTGCTCTCCTCACTCAGTCCTCATACGGACCCGTTCAGACCACGCCATATTACCATAAGTAAGTTACCGCTCGATGATCCTTGGATTTGTAATCTTAACCTTCGTTTTACGGCCACTTAATCTCTCCGACAAACACTGATTGCATTTTTGGATTCAGCGTGAAAAACTGTAAGTAGACATCTAAAAACTACATCATAGGCCTAGGCCTATCCCAGTGTAAGATATAGTAAATAATTGCCTAAAAATAATTTCCTACGGCACATTTACAATCAGGATAATAGGCCTAGAGTTTAAATCAATCCTTGCTTCGATTTTAGGCATATAATTTGTTTTGATGAATAAGCTTGAAAATTGTTCAAAAAAGAAACAAGTTCTTCATAGCTGTCAAAATAATATAAAGGTTTTCAAATTTCTAAATGTGCCATATGGCTTGGATATTAAACCCTGGAATAAATAATTGTGTACCACAGTAGGCTAAACTATTTTAAAGAATGATGAACTTATATATGTTCATATATGATATGTAAACTCATGCTGAAACTTACCAGCAAAATGTACTGTCCAGTTGTCATCACTCATTAAACAAGAACAGAATACTTTGATAGAGCAAATCATTACCAAAGTGTTGAACAATATAAATGCATCAGACTGCACTTATTAGTCTACGTTTTACTGATAGTCATAATTTTATCAGCATAAAATGCCGTGCATCATTAACAAACACAGAGCGAGTGCTCAATGAGTTATTTACTATCTCAAGAGGTTAGAGCCGAATACCAAAAGAGAATAAGGTTAGAGTTTCACCCAAATTCCATGATCCAATCCGTGCATAAAACAGTTGATAATTACCTAATGATGAACACACAACACAGATAAATGCTAGAATTGTTCAGCGTAGCATTTCTTTGAAATATGCATTAACCAATTTACTTCAGTAGAAAAGCGATAAACAGTGTTGCCACCACGTTGTTGCGATTTTACCCTAAAGGTGGGCTAAAATTACCCTAAATTACCCTAAATCTACTTTGAGTTACCCTAAAAATTACCCTAAATGTTAATATTTGCGTTTAATGCTATAAAACATTGTTAAAATCATATAAATCTTACATAAGGTGGTTAATTATACTAAATGAAGTTCCAATATCAATCAGTTTACGTAAAATCATACTCGCTTCTAAAAAACCACCCGAAAGAAGAACAAAATGTTGACATTGATCATAGCTCTATCGACTATCGTATAACGAAAAATATCGAATCAAGAACTATCATATTTTTTTACTGTATCGACCCATTACTACTGTTTTTGGACAATCATAGCTTTAAAATAGTACGGTACCACCAAAGCTTTAATCTATAGATAGAAGTAATTTCTTGACACAATTTGTAAAATAATTCAGTTTAATTCAATTCCATCGCATAATTAAATATCAAACCTAGTAATGAATAATATTTCATATTTTATTAGGCCTATATTTTGTTATAGAATCGAATACATTCTAAAACAGATATTTCCTAACTATTGATAAGATCGATTAGGATAACTTGTTATAAAAAATTCATCATAGCAATCGATTTAAACCGGTTGAATCGAATATGATGGTTTAGCCGTAGTATGTAATGAACGTTTTTTGCCAAATTTTGAAGTTTTTTTCATTTTTTTTGTAAAATTTCCATTGTTACGCTAACTTTTAGTTTTACCCTAAAATTACCCTAAATCTACCATTACCCTAAACTTTACCCTAAGACCAGTAAATTACCCTAAAAAAGGGTAATTACCCTAAAAGTGGCAACACTGGATAAGAACTTGACAACGAAGAGGTCGACCGACGGACAACGACTAGTGATGGGAGAATCGAATACAGAATCGAATAGTATTCGAATACAGCCCGAGTATTCGTAGATTCGAATACTTCAGATTCGTACGAATACTTTTTTGTGAATACTCTTGACCTCAGATTTTGCAGGATTTCTTGAATCTAGAAAGCGAATTCAGGGGATTCAAAAATGTACTCAACACTTTTTCAACTACTGAATTCCCTTTTGAATATCTTACGAATCCGTAGCATTCGTAAGAGTATTTAATGTTTTTACTGCAGCATTTGTTTTCATCTATTCGTTATAATTTTACCATTAGCCCTATAATTTACATAAGATTATTATTAATCGTTAACATTTAGAATATATTGGATATGTAAAATATTAGGTTACTATTGGTAGAGGGCAATTGAGTATGTAGAATGTATTATAACTTCAACCGATTTATATAGTTACATGGCAAAATAACATGCATATCTGTTGTAAATTATCCATACAAATGAATAAGACATATTATTATTAAAGATATTAATTAGTTAATACAATAGAAAATAATACATTAATAAGACTGTAACTGACCATGAAATAATTATAAGTCAAAATAAATGTACCTTTTAAAAATCATATAATTTAAAATTACATCGAATAAATTATATTAATGAATTAATTACTGTAAAACGAAATAACAGTGGCCAAAAGAACGGTTGCATTATGAAAAAATAATTACACACTCATTTTCCATGCTTTGCATACTCAAAGGTGTTCGAATACAAGTATTCGTAAAAGTATTCGAATACAGGGGAGGCTACGAATTCACTGTATTCGATTCTTTAAAGTATTCGATTCTCCCATCACTAACAACGACACGACAACGGAACGGACAGGTTCACACACAATAACAAACAGCTGATGAGTGACGCTTGGGCTTGTTTGTTGCTTGAGCTTGACGGCCGACGACGGGGGAAACAGAAACTTTCGTTCAATCCACTTCAATCCAATTAAAACATGAAACGAAACGAATGGAATCTCACTGACTCACTCACTCATCCTCTCCTCTCAGCACAGTTTTTATTTCAGCTGGAGTTTTTTAATACGGACTGCAGTTTTTGAATACAGACAAAATGATAGCATTCTACATTTTTTGTCTAAGTAAGATGTTTGCATTATCAGCAAGTTTGGTTAGGTTATGTATGACAGTTTAATTTTATAATTAAAACATTATAACACTAATTTGAGCTATTTATAGTTTTATTTTATAAATAGGACTGTTTTTTTCGATTAATAAGTTAAACCTTCATTCGATTTTTTTTTCATCATCAGCAAGTTTGGTTGGTTAGGTTAGGTTATGAAAGTTTAATTTTATAGTTAAAAAATTAATTTTATATTTTTACTTAATAATTATTTTTTTTATAATTTATCATTTTTCAGTCCCAATTAAAAAACTGCAGCTGAAATAAAAATTGTGCCTCCTCTCACTCACAGCATGATGCTAGACGCTATAAGTCAGCTCGCGCGGGAGAGTGCAATACCAACGTTGACAGGGAAGGGGGAAATATCTCGCAAATTTATGAACCGATTTTCAATTTTTTTCATCAAAAATTTTATTTTTTCATGCCCTTTCATTTGATATGTCCCAAGGGGTACCTTGCTATTTAAAAAAATGAAGTTGGGGGCAGGGGGAAAAGGGGGGAATGTGAATGTAACGTAGAATTCAAAACAATTGGGCCCCCTACGTCAATAGATGATTCCCGCAAACTGCATATTTCTATATATTGCGGTTTTTACATAAATAAAGATGCAAGTTAAAAAAACACCCTGTATATTTATATATGTGTCCGTTAGCACGATAACTCGAGCAAAAACCATCCGATTTTGATGAAATTTGGTACAAACGTGTAAACCTACGTTTATTCGAACGAGTTCGCGAACCAGCAAGATCGGACCATGGGAACGGGGGTTTATGGGGTAAAAATGGGTTTTTCCCATTTTTTACTCAAAATACATAAAATTTTGCAATTTCTTTCCAAACTATTTTGTAGAGCTTAAAAAAACAAATAATTTAATATATTGAAGCGTTATAATGCACCTAATGGTTACGGAGAAAATTCCAAAAAATTGTAAATTTAAAATTCCCATGTTATTCTTATGGAGAATAAGTAAACTGTTGCAGTTTGCTTGTTTATTAACATATTTTGCCCAAATTTGGAAAATGTTTTTATTTCTTACTAACTATTAACATTTTACATTAAAAAAAACACTTTTACCCTCCCTGTTGCAGCAAACCTAAGTATGTGTGTAGGGTTGCCACCATAGTGAGATGACAAAATTCATGCAGAATTCATGGTTTTCATTGGTAGTTTGAAAAAATTCATAGTCAGTACGCTCATACAAGTTTCGGGCAAAAACTATCTATTTTATGTAGCGCACTGTTCAGCAACATGTCGTCTGAGAGTGGTGGGGGTAGGCTCGTTGGAAAGCATACACGATGCCATTATCTGTGGTCATAGAGCAGTGGTCACCTGAGCATCGCGCGTTTGTTATCGATTCAAATTTAAAAAATAATGATTCATAATGAGTCATTGCAACTCAGCGGCAGTTTGGTGAATTTTTTTTATTAGGGCGACGTCGATTCCGTCATGTGGCACAATCATGTGGTAGACAATCAACTATAAAACAATGGTTTCTGCGTTCAGAAAGAAGCTGACAAGCCGTCCAAAGTCAGATCGGACGCATCGGACGTCAGACAACTAGGGCCGGACTACACGAGCGTATGAAACGCCACCGACAGTACGCGCAAAAAAGTCTAGGACTACACGAAGCCGACAATCAGCAGCGTATTGAACGCGAGAACATTGACTACACGAGCGTATAGAACGCCCAATGTGACTGACATTTGGACCGTTCCAATATTGAAACGATACTGTACAAGTCGGATGTGTAGCTGGTATGATATATTGGTGCAGGCTGTTAAGAATAAACGTCGTGCAAAGAGGCGTTGGTAGTCACACCCAACATTATCAAGTTGTTTAGTAACAGGGCAGTTTCAAGTAATGTTTCCATAGAATGTACTCAGACAAATTCTTTCAGCAATACAAATACAAATATTGAGACACAAAAAACAATAAAAAAAACTACTCCAATTACAACAAGTAGTCCAGAATTGGACTTGCCAAAGTGATGGGAGGGATGTATCAACCAACACGCAGGAGAAATGCTAGTTGCCGCTACGTGTAGTCCGGCGAGCCGACGATCTGCCCGCGTATTTTACGCATCCAGAGGCGTTAGATCTGCCGAACGCCTGAATTACGCGTCCTCACCAGGCAGACAAAACCAAAACGCTCATGTAGTCCACATCATATAAACCTATTGGCTCTTCAAAAAAAGCAGACGGTCGGCGGCGTTTCATACGCTCGTGTAGTCCGACCCTAACATTCGATAGAGTCCGTGCTGCTGTGGAAAACAGTCCTCGTATGCCCGCTTGAAAACGAACATCATCTTTAAACAAGTCTGACCGCTTGGTTACACTAATTTTGAGTTTGATCTCGTTCACCCGGCCAAAAAGGCCTGAATTTTCCCCCCATATTGAATGTCATTAAATATCCTGTATTCTGGTTTATCTTATTACACAATGTACTTATTGGTTTTATCACAGACTATAGACACAATTAATGGTTTATTGTCTGTGGTTTTATCCACAAAGCTAAAAACATCAGGCGTGAGAGCCAGAAATTCAATTTTATTGTTTTATTATGTGCCCTGTTTCAATTTTATGCATAGTCTAAAAATTCTGTTTTTGTGATTAAAGTCCCCATACCCCTGTACCCATACGCGGGGGTAGGCCACCTAATGATTTTTCGAACCATATACAGTCAAAATTCTCATACATCGGAAGACTTAGCTGACATCAGCATCTAACCTAAAATGAATTGGAATGAACTAAGCAATTGTTTCTGAACGTGGAAAATAATCGTCTCCAAATGGTATTCTCTCTTGGTATTTGTTTTACTGAA